GCAACCTCTTATCTTACACCACATCTAAACAGCATCTAAAAAGCATGCAATACTGCACTTCCTACGCTGGAACAGACCATGTACTTGTTGTCAATGGTCAATCAGCTCCCATCACATAAGGCAATGGAATACTTTCTAAGCCCACCAGTAAGCTTCATCTATCCTCCCTTCTAAGAGCTCCAGCATTATCTCACAACCTCATCTCAGTTTATCAACTAGCCAAAGACAATAATTGTCTCATCTCCTTTGATTCTCCTTGTTACTCTATTCAGGATTAAACAGCCAACCAGATGATTCTCCAGGTCCAGCTAGACATGGTCTTTGCACCATACCGGTCTCCACCCCATAGCAGCCTTCAGCACATTTATTAACTCATGTACATGGCACCAAAGATTTGGACATCGGCACTTGAAAACTGCTGCCTCTATCTCAAAATGTGTCCAGAACTCCACATCAAGCTAGCACAGTCAGCCTGTCAATCCGGCTGGTCCAACAAAAGCCATAAGCAGCCATTAATTTCCAACAATAGCCAATAGGAAGTATAAACTCTTTGAACTAATTCATTCTGATATATGGGGTCTATTTTCCCTTCCCTCCATATGTGACCACAAATATTATGCACTCTTTGTTGATTCTTATACTTGTTATAGCTGGATCTATCCTATGTAAACAAAATCTGAACCACTCAACTTTTCGTTAACTTGATCAAATGGTGCTCACTCACTTTAGTACATCAATAAAATACTTTAGATCTGATGGAGTAGGGGAATACCTCTCTCATCACCTCAGAAGCTATCTGAATTCCCATGGAATAATTCACCACCTAAGCCGTCCCAATATCCCTGAACAAAATGTCCTTGCAGTTGCGAACTATACCAGTTATTGTGGTATGTATATATAAATCAAACAGGAGAACGATCTTTGAAGTGAAAAATAGAACAAAAAAAATTCACACCAGAAAACAGTAACACAACGGAACACACAGATTTACGTGATTCAACAAATTGCATACGTTCACGGAGTTGCAGAGGATTTTACTACTTGAGGAATTTGCACCAGTCGATCGTCTCGACTTACAAGAAGAATCTCTCACTTAGTTGCTATCTCTTCTTCTCTTTCTGTTCTTCTCTCTCTCTACCGAGATACATCGAAAAAACTCTATACAGAGATACACCGAAGAAGATAAACTTACAAGAGAAATAAACCCAATTTCTGTTCTGCCACAAGCCACCAAGAAGAAGCCAAGGGAGAACAATCATCTTCTTCTTCTTTCTTCTTCCTTCTGCCGCAAGGAACTACTGCTTGCACTTTCCTTCCTCTATCCCGAGGAAGCCCGAAGAAGAACACAAAAAACGTGACTTAGAAACCTAAGGAGATCCATCCGAAGCCTTTATCATGAACAGGAAGGGAACTGTCGCGACAAACGCACTCTTCCCGAAACAACGAACTGTTCGCGGGAATAGTTCGCGACCGAGCGTGGCCAATTTGCAAAAGCAAGAGCAGGAAAAGAATCGAACTCCAATGCTAACAATCTCCCACTTGGAGACTTATACACATGCTTCAACGTCTTCTTCCTCAAACTGAATCCTCCACTGGCGGTGTCGCTTTTTTCTTCAAACATGAATTCTCCACCTCTGCAACTCAAAGCCTCTGTCTTCACTCCAGAAGACCAACTGACGTTGTGCACAACTTCAGTTTCTCAAGAGTAACACTCCGCCACCAAACATCGGTACCCAATGGACAAGTTGACTCCCCAACCTTCAGCTAGTCAACTTGAGGGGGGCTAACAAACCATCTCCTCACAATAGACAGCACATGAGACAGATGATCCCCCATCACAATAAAACCTCCATTCAGTTAGGATAACAACTGCACCTCTCTATATCAGCCGTCTGATAGATTAATGTATTTACTATCATAACCCTGTCCGATACTATAAATACAGCAACGTGCATACAACTTAAGGGTGGAATTATATACCTCAGTAGCTGTCCTTTGTAATCTTTGTCCTCTTCCTTAGCTGTCCAGCTTAGAGAGAGAGAGAGAGATAGAGAGAGAGAGAGAGAGAGAGAGAGAGAG